TATATATATATATATATATTATATATATATATATAATATATATATATATAAACACAGTGCTATGCAAAAGCACTGAGAAACCCATTATTTCTTTATTATTTGCTAGGAAACACTATTGAAATGTATTTAAACCTGTTACACATATATTATAGAAAAAAAAGCATATAACACAAAAACAGAGTTTGTACACTTCTAACATTAAATATGATTGTTTAAGACCACCGTTACTCTTCAACAAAGCATTAGGCAGCTTTCTTGTAATTTCTGTAAGTAGTCTTCAGGAATATGTTGGGTTTTTTTGTTCTGTTCTCAGTCAAGATGATCCCATACTCCTTGTTGAGATCAATCGACTTCTGGTGGAGTGAAGAATGGAGTAGGTGCATATATTGTGCTTTTCCGCACTGACCTGAAAACCATTGGGGGGTTTTTTCGTCCCAAACTTGATCGGCTTCTTATTTAAATGAACAGTATTTCTTTGAAAAGCTACATGGCCTCTGGAACCAGGCTGATGAAATCAAAAGACAACAAAAGAAATGACTCGCCTTCCTCAGCTAGCCAGATGAGCATGCCCGCCTTGGCCAGCTTACTGGAGGAGCACCAACAGTCCATATCAATGACCGTGTCCTCCGACATTAAAGCAGTGCTTGCCTCTCTTAAAGCTAAACTGGACACGGACAAGCTACACTGACTGACCTGAAGACCAAAGCCAGCTCAACAGAAGAACGCATCCAGGCCTCAAAGCATCATTCAAGCTTGTGCTAAACTCAAGAACAACAATATTGACTTAGATGGACGTACTCACTGGACCAACATCAGGATTATTGGCCTGTCAGAGTTCATCGAGGGACCCCGACCATCAACTTTTTTCTCTAAAGTCCCAATGAAGATATTCGGGGAACAAGTGCTGCAGACTCCGCCAGAGCTGAATCGTGCCCAGTGCACCCTCGTTCCCAAACCACGACAGGGGGACAAGACCGGGGCCAATGATCATGTTTTCATCGACACCAAACTAAAGAGTTGGCCTGTAAATGGAGGAATGACTTGAAGCACAGAGTCAGTGTTGGGTTGAGGAGCAGAATGAGAGAGTTGGTTTATCCATTCATTTATTTCCAGAGATCCAGAGAGAAGCGGCGGGCAGAAGGGCAGGGAGGTGAGGTGAACGCGGCTGAAGCATGTAGCCTGAATGGATGAGTTGTGACGGACAGCCAGCAAAGGTTATGCCGCCTGAGCAGGTGAGTAGTGGCAGATGACCACCGAAGCGAACTGCAGGGGAGTTGAGTATTGTTCCAGGAACAGCAAAAGCAAAGTAGAGACACAAGGAAACAGCAGTTAAAATACGAAGAGGCAAATAACAAGAGAGAGAAGAGCTGAGTTACCACGATAGGAGTAGCTGACGGACTGGCGATGAGTAGAAGGCTGCGGTGGCCTGCTGATTGCCTCTGATGGAATCACAGATGGGTGATGCAGGTCTGGAAACAAGCCAGCACGAAAAAACATCTAAAAACAGCAGACACTCACTCAGAACATGACACATCTGCCATAGATTTCCTCCCTCAAATCTTTTAAGGACACACTGCACACCATGGAAAGATATGCCATGTTTTCAGCTAATAGCCCTTTGATTTTTACCTTGTTGGTACAAAGTCTTTTTTATGTGTTACTCACATATTTTAAAGTACCTGTCCAGTTTAGGTGGCATTTTGAATCAGATAGTCAAACGCGGTAAATCTATTCAAAGCTATGATCCAGTCCTGGTTTTACTTTTGGCATCTGACATAACTGGTCTGGAAATGTTCAGCGTGTTTTTGTTTCATCACAGCTCATGGGCTGCTTTCCTGTGATATATCTGCTTGTGCATTTATTCAAGTGCCCTGGTGAGAGTTTAATTTACAAGGAGTGAAATGCAGTAGCTTGTATTTTAAATGAGCTGCTCTTACCTCCTTCTACTATTTATGCTACCTTCAGTCATCGCCACTTCTCAGACTAAATGATCAAATGAATTTTACACCAAAGCCATCAGCATAGTTTCTAAATCAGAAACTTCACTGATTCATTCATAAAAAACTTTAAATCTTCATATAGACCAGTTATACCAGTACCATTGGTAGATGTGCTATGTGAAGCCTACTAGGTCCAGCCAACAAGCTGTACTGTCTCAAGACATGTGGTGTCACTTATGGAAACAAACCTCAGCATTATAGTGAACTCTTAATGATAAAACACAATGAAATACAGATGGCAGCTGCAGAAGTTTGGAGAGATGAGATTACCCTGCTCTGAGCCCCCTGAGACACTCTGTCCACAGTGATCCACAACACTACGGTGGTTAAGAAGAGCTGTCGCTAGACATTTACAGCAGAGAGACGGGAACGAAACCCAGATCCCTGTTGTGGGAATCTGCGTCAGGCTGCATGAGATTTGACTGGAGAATTTGAATATGCAAATCCTGGAGAGCAGAGCTCGTGATCTGGAATTAATTTAGTCCAACTGAAACTGCAGTGATGTTGTGTCTACGGCGAAAACACGCAGCCGATCAAAGAGACGCACTAACTGTGGGGAAATAAAGGGGAAGAAGGGCATCATTCACAGTCGGATGTTCCTGTAGCACATCATCTTTTACGTCTCGTTGCATCACCTTGCTGTCAGAGCGGCTCGCCACCTCACATCCTGGTCCGCATGAAGGTGTACTTTCTTGTAGCTGTACTATACTGCTGCAATGATTCAAGGTGATGAATTGAGACAATTAAACTTCATAAAAAAATTATAAGACAGAGACGTTATGGCCTGCAGTAAGACTGCGGACATAAAAAGCAAAAAAAGATAAATAACCTGAGAGAAAAGAAGGAAGCTGTATATGTAAAAATGTCTGAAATGTTAATGTTTCTTTCAACTACTCAGACTTAATTTTCAAACCAGATTGCCATTTCAACTCACGCAGTTCTGTGCTAGGCACCTAAAATGGTACCTTAGTGGGCAGCCATTTAGTCGTCTTTCATGCTGCACGCATTCTTCATCCCTCGGCCCGTCAGAAGCGAGCAACTTAGCGTCTCACCAACATCATTTCAGTTAAGGCAGAATCTGTTGTTCCTCCAGCAGTTACTTTGTCTCAACCTTGCTCAAGCTTTTCATCATTTTTCTGGCTCTGACACAAGAGGATGATGATGATTAAAGTGAATCCCGCCAACAAAATTCTGATTGGTTTTATTTTTTTATTTTTTTTGTAACACCAGACTTGTTTGAATCACTGACAAAGCCAAGTTGTGGGTGGGTCTGGCACCAGGTTTGTTTTCTTTTTCTTTTAAATATATGCCTGAGACTAGTTTCTCCATCTTGGCTTTGTGTATTTCTAGTCTGATTTTCCAGGTTGAAAATTCTAAATTTTGATGGCAGTGACGGCTGACTTTCAGGTCCATGTTGTGTACCGCTCGGGCTCCACGTTAGTTCCACTTAGCTCTGAATTGGTGCGTGTTTGTGTTTGTCTCCTTAAGAAGATTGGTGTGTGCTGTGATGAGAGTAGAGGGGCTGCAGGGACATCTGGCTAACTGACTGTAAGCTGCTGTATTACTTCCCATTAAGAGTCATTAAGACCCCAATTATAGTTACCACCCCACAGATCACACGCACACACACCGGGGGTCTGCAATTACATTCAGACAGTCTTCTTTTCCTCTTCTGCACAGGGTGCAGTAGAGAAAACCCAGGTTTGGTTTATATTTAAAAGCATTGTCCCGCATTTCTTTAAATACTGGACTGAAGCAGGAGGAGCGCTGAAACAAAAGAAAAGTTCAAGGTCATCTGCAAAAATAATGAGCCTCGCTGAGCTTTTATCACAAGCCAAAATCCTCCAACAAAACACAGCATATGGACATTAGATAACTAGTAAGCAGCTTTTAAACTACTTTAGTTTTTAAACCAGCACCGCTACAAGTCCAAGGCACTGATGAAATGAAAGAGCAATCCGTGCAAACTGAACTCACGGTTTGGGTAATGCCAGAAGAAAACTTCTGAGTTCAGCCTGCATAAGATACAGAACAGAGACACAAAGATACTAAAACAACATTTATTGCAATCCAGAACCGGTCGTTAGAACTGATGCTATTAGGAGCCTAAGTATGAATTCATGTCCAAAGGAGATAAATAAAGGAGCTGTTCATGTACACTTCTGAAACTCTTTTGTAACATAGCTAAATACTCATTTTATTATTAGTTGTGGTATTTATTTATTTATTTTTGTGGCAGTGCGCAGGGGGATTTTGTTAGAAGGCCCAGATTCGCTGCTTTATCTGCTCATCCCGCACAGACGCACAGAGAGAGAGAAATCTCATACAAGCATGTACACAGTCGGACATCTTCAGGTCCCATCTGAAGGCAGTCTGCTCCTGCACACCACACACACACCTCTCAGCGTAATACACACATGCACAGCTGGAAGGCTTTCTATCATGGAGAGATAACTACAGGCTGAGAACAATAGACCATCTCTTCTCCCATCTGGTGAACCGGGGGATGAAACTTCATTTACATTTCAGACCCACCCCAACCCACCTCAGGGTGTGCATATGTGTTCATGTGTGTGTGTGTGTGTGTGTGTGTGTGTGTGTGTGTGTGTGTGTGTGTGTGTGTGTGTGTGTGTGTGTGTGTGGTGGGAGGGAGGGAGGGAGGTGGTGAGTTTGTGGGGTAATAGAGGGAACAAAACGAGATTCATTTCAGGGTGAATTTGGGATTATGAATTAAGACGCCGCTGTGCTGAAAGACTTCATTTACAGCTAATTGAGTGTGTTGGCTCATTGAAATGGCTGTTGTGTTAAAACTTGTCTGCCTGGCTGGTCTCTGGGCTGTCTGGGTGCGTGTGTGTGTGTGTGTGTGTTTGGAAAAAGCCAGGGGTGGTAACCTGTACATTAGTGAACAGCTGTAGTTTAGACGTGTGAAATTAGATGTAAAAATGATTATAAAATGTGACACCTTCCCCCTCTCTCTTCCTCCCTGTCTCTCCTTTGCAGGTGAAAAGCCCTACAAGTGCTCATGGGAGGGCTGCGAATGGCGCTTTGCCCGCAGTGACGAGTTGACACGACACTACCGCAAACACACCGGAGCGAAGCCATTCAAGTGCAACCACTGCGACAGGTAAACGGATAGGCGGCACAAACACAGCAAACACGCAGTGCAGTTTACATTTGGAGGACTTTGATGTCCTTTATCTGGCCAGGATAAAAAATTGTTTTTAATATACAAGCCAAAGAGTTGTGTATCTGTAAGGTTTTGTTTGCAGCTAATTATTTCCAGTTTGTTTTTGATCACTGTGACACATTTCTATGTATAATTAGCAGGTATCTCTTCCTGTGCGAACCACCCATACAGTCAGTTGATGCACCCTGCAAAACAAATTAGCTTCCTTAGTTGACTGCACACTACTGTCTTATCCAAATATGGTCTCTTCTGCGTCCATAAAGCCAAATCAGAGATGGTGATTCCATTGAGCTGCTTCAGTGTTTCAGTGTAATTCCTGCCATTCTTGAAGGCTTCTTCTGCCGGGACAAAAAAAAAGACTATTTCCCTCATTAGGTTCCACCAAAAGCCTCTAAATCCATTGATTTTTAGTCGTACTTTCACTTACTTAGAACTTCCACCTATGCTGAGCGGCGCATTGGGCAGCTAACGATCTCCATCGTCAGTCAGCGGCAACTGCTTCGGCTTCATCCCAGGCGATGTCGACAGTTTTCAGATCATCCATAAACGTTCGAAGCCATGTGATCTTTGGTCAGCCTCGCTTTCGCTTGCCAGTGTTGGGAACCATGTAATGGCAATCTTGGCCGGGCGATAAGGGGGTAGATGTAGAATATGGCACGCAAAGTGGAAGCGCGTTTCTGCGACAACATCGGCTAAAGGGCGGGTGCCTGCTCTTTGAAAGACCTCTTTGTTCGTTATCCCGGTAGGAAGTTCTCAGTTCGCCATAGGCCTCGTTGTATATTCAAGCAGTCCAAAACTTAGATGAAGAGCTATTCATTTGCAGAGTTGCAAATGAATAGCTCTTCAAGTTGAAGCACAGCTTTATCAGTTTGAGTCAGAGCCATCTAGTACACATCCATCAACATTGGGAAAATGACACTATAAATCTTCTCGCAGAAGAGGTGAGATCACTGATGTAAGTGTATGAAAACTAAGATAATGTATTAGTCTTTCACTAGTAGGTTAAAGGTTTAGTACTAATACTCTACTAAACTAGGCTTGGACCTTGACTCTTGAGATCCATTTTTCCCAGCCTCAACAGTTTGCTAGCCAACCATATTTGCTGGTACCTAAGGGCATGTTTAAGGTCTGAGCATTAGCCTGTGATGGAACCATTTATATTAGTTCTTCCTGTCAGCTTTTGTTGTTGTTGTTGTTGTTTGTTTGTTTTTTTAATTGCTATAGTTTCCAAAAAAGATGTTTCCAGTATGTAAAGTCCATTTTGGGCACAGACACAGATAGCTGGAGATTCCTGTCATGCTTCTGTGAAGTTCGCTTAAAATCCTCCACAGAGGGCGGATGAGTACTTGGTGCATTGTATATATAGAAAACAGACCCTCACGTCTGATGATGAAATTTACATCATTTGGACATGAGTGGACCTCGGTGGATTCACGTATTCGAAAAGTATAACTGAGACCATTTGGCACATTGAATGTAGGCTAAATATATCACAGAGATATCCTATCAGAATCACTGAAAATGATCAAAGTTGCATCTGGTAAGACAAGAGCTGCTAATGAGTTTTTTACTTTTCATGCTCGCTGTCAAATGCAGGAAAAGTTGGCTACAGTATCACAGTGCTTTAGTAAAATGACCTCTGAACATTGCTGGCTGTTACATCCAAAATAGTAGGAAGTCAGGTCATTTTTTAAAAAGTTAATAAATAAATAACATGTTTTTCCTGCATTTACTGTAGATCTAAACTTTTAACAAATTTTACCTTCTTTTATTACAAACAAGGGGGTAATAAGCACAAATATTAAATGCTGAGAAGAGATTTTAAAGGAACGTGAGCAGATGTGTGCAAGAGGAGTTCAGGTGACAACAGGATGAAGTGTCAGGATGAAGATTCACGACTTTATTTTATAGCATCGTCAATTTAATGGTGAAATATGCTATAATGCTAAATTAAATCAGTTCCCAGGGGAATATATGTTAGTACTAACGTGTAGATCATGTTATGTATTAAATTGTATTTTTTGTGTGTGTGTTGCTCCTGCTTTACCAACTCATGTCTGATGTGGACAGAGGAAAACAAAAGAGAAGCAGATGAAGGGGCGTACGCTTTAAACTAAAGTCTAAGTCTCCTGCTAGAAAACAACCAGGGATGTGTTTGTGAGTCTGTTGAGAGTCATCTTGTCACTGTTTTGTGTTTGCTTCTTAGAGGAGAGAGAGTGTGTGTTTGAAAGTGTGTGTGCTTACTCATGCTTCTGTGCTGGCAGTTAAATGGATTCTGGCTATTGGCAAGCAGGCTACAGCTAATTGAGTGGCACCAGATGCCAGCTCCACTTTAACATTCACTCTCTCTGAATGTGTATGCGCCTGTAATACCTTTCGAATGAAAGAAACACACGCACACACGCAAACTTTTGCCCTAGAGACAGTGTAATTGGCTGTTGTGGGTTCTCTCTAGTTAGGATTTTAGACATAAACCCCCCAGAAACCTGCTGGAAAGCTTCATAATCCAGACTGAGAGCTGGGACTGTATTAGCTCTTTTCTGGCACATCCATAAATGCACAAACACAGTATGCAGACACCTCACACTCGCATGCATATTGAGCGCAAAGATGTTTAGATGCAAAGTCATATCGACTTGCATGAATAATTAAATGTCCGGGCGTATAAACGCAACACTTTTGACACACAATGGCGCAGACGTAAGCCGATTCAGTCGTAAGCACAGCTGAGGCTCTACCTGAAGCAGGGCTTTCAGTGCGTGAGGTAAGGGCGCCGTTCATCCACACAGACGCAGATGTTTGCTGAGGCTCTCCAAAGTGAGTCATCAATGCAAAGCATGAACGGCGACATCGAAAAAATAGCAGCTGCTTTGATTAAAAGTCCTTGCCTTTAAATATAACTACAGACATGGATTCAGACTCTTTGTGCAGCAGGCGCATTTTTTCCATCTTTAGGTAAAAGTTTGAATTTGTCCAACACTTTCCTCTTTTCTTTTTGTTAATCTTAAACAACGTCACTGCCTTTCAGAACAACTCGTCTTAATCGTGTTTTCACGTCTCCCTTTTTGGCTTTTTAGTGTTCAAATTACAAGGTTAACATAGCGAGGGCGCACGCTGATTTGTACAGTAGTGGACAAATGCACACACAGACACAGACACACACATCTGTGGTGGGTGGAGCCAGGCAAATATTACCATGAGAATGGCAAGAAGTGGCAGGCATGGAGAGGTTAACACTAGCTAGAATGTTCAATCTGACACAATTTCTCCTGGGGAAACAGACACACAGACACACGGCGGTCTGTTATTAATCCCGCCTAATCAAGCGGGGACCCCCCGATGGTTCCTTGGAGCTGGACAGAGGAGGTGCGGGGGGGGGGGGAGAAAGCAGAGTTTTGAGGAGGAAACAAGGGAGTGGGGGGTTACCAGCTGGTCCTGAGACTCCGCCCCCCCAACATTGACAAAGTAACTTACATGGCCATCTGTCCAGCCACACACACACAGACTGGTGCAGGTGTACAGTAGGTACCACACGGCGAGCTTAGAGCTGAGGGGAAACACTAGACCACAAAGCAACAAGGAGCAAAGTTCAGCTGCACCCTCACTCCACGTTAGATTTTAGGTGAATTAACAGCTGGTCCACGTATACAGAAAACCTACAGCAAAGACAAAAAACCAAAGAAAAGAAAAAAATACAAGAAGAAGTCGTCTTCTTCTGGCATGAGTTTAAAAGCTGACTTTTCTTTTCTTTTTTTAGACGTACATGTTTTGTTTCAACAGCATCCCAGCAACCTTGACTAAACGCACTGGTGCGTTGGTAAAGTCTGCAAGCAAAATTGAATCCTGTGGACTGAAGGGCCAAAACTAGAGAGAGAGAGAAAATGACTTTTATTAAAATCAGCTTAGAAGGATCTCACACAGGAGCAGAGATGAAAAAGCAAAAGTGGCTGACAGATGGTGTGACTCAAAACAATCGTCAGAGGGATTTAATGACACCCAGTAGGAAGCGGCACGTTTACAATTCTAGCGAATGCGGCTGGCATCTTATCCTAGTCAACCTGTTGTTGGCGTCTCTCTGCATCAAACACTGTTGCTTCATGGAACAGTGTTTCTCTTATTTTCTTATTTTTTTGTTGTTTTTACTGTCAAACCTTGAAGTAGAGATTATTATTTTATTAGCGCTGGGGAGCAGAGGTTTGTATGAGCAAACAGTAATATATGTATCAGAGCCCATCACTCGCCCCTTAGTGAAAGTGTCTGATCACTTATTTTGCTTTGAGCTGATTGGCTTTCACTTCATATTGGGATCTTCTTTTTTTTTTGCTATTTTCATCTGGATTTCTAGCAGCTTACCCAGCTCAAGGCAGCACACAACTTAGCGTCCTTCAAATGAGGTTTTCTGTAGAATCGAAAGGCTGAAATTCAGAGAATAAATCTCAGCAGAAGCAGGTCGTGCTGCAGTTTAACGATTTGGGTGTTTGGCTGTGTCTGGTTGTCTCTATCTGGAACGAACAACAACCTACCTATACACACAACACACGTGTGCACACGCTCGCACAAAGAATAGGCTTGACTAATTAATAATGAATAAAGCCTCTGGCAAATTGAATTTTTAATTTTCTCATTTAAGTCTCGCCCACATTTTGTTTTGCCTTCCCTTTAGTCATATCGTTTGTGATTTGTTTTATACTGGATGTTCAACTTTAATGTCTTCGCAATTAATAAAGTACTGGCAATAAAATGAAAATACTTGTGACGCTGTCAGTTTAATATTATGTATCGCCAGCACCTGGTTTTGTGTCCCTCTCTTGCATCAGGTGCAGCCAGTACTGAGTTAAATGGTCCGGCATCAGAAAGCGCTGCCAGCCTGTCTGCATTAGTGTCCATGTTCACGGTGCATATCTAATTAGTTTCTACAGTACTGTTTTACTCTGAGCTGGAGGACTGACTTCAGCTTCAGGGGTCTGGCTGTGATTTATGGCGGTGTTTGAGTTGCATTTAGGAAATCACCGAGGCTGGCTTGGCCTCTATTCATCTTTACATCACGGTTTCACTGGTGTGACCCGGTGAAGCGAGAGCACTTAAATTCACCGTGGTGTTGAAATGAAGTACTGTGCTTCTCTACTTGTAGATAATCTAACTCTCTTTCTTCTTCTCTTAGTCTGTCTCTCTCTGGTTGCATGTTGGAATCTTACTCTTACCTCTAATTCAGATGTGACTCTCTACAAAGAGCTTTTGGAGGTGTCAAAACCATGTTTTAAGAAAGTATTTACTTGAATTTATCCTATAGACTGCAAAATGAATAGTTTGAAATTCAGTGTTTAGAACTGTACATGAAACCAATATTCATTCATTCCTCTTGTCCAGTTCAGGGTCACTGGGACTGGGGCCTGTTCCAGAGGTAATTCCTTCTTGGGTACATGTTTCTCCATCACCTTAAACAGACTTGGATAAACTGCAATAACACTGGTCAAGAGTATTGTAAGTGTTAAATGCTAACATTTGCACAACAGCTGGTAAAGAAAAGAAAAGAAGAAATGATTACTTCAGTGACGGAGAAAGCTGATGCTGATTTGTTGTTGAAAAAAAAAGAAAAGGTCGAGAATTTTACAACTTAGAATAACGGAAAATTCACGTATTTTGAAATAAAAATTATGTGTGATCATCATAGTTGTTCTACTGATAAAATTATTTCCCTCAGTGGTGGAACACTGATAACTAATTCCATTGCTATTGTATATTCATACATCTGAAAAAGTGCCGCAGGCCTGGCTAGTCGTAGTAATAAAGGTAACTTGGTACTTTGCATCATTGGTCACGTAGGACTGAAGTTCTAATACTGCACAGTAGAAAAACACAGGATTACACAGTAGAGGCTGGGCAGTTCTGCCAGTTTGGGTTTCAAGTATTCCTTGTAAATACACAGAAAAGTATTTTAGTGGATTTTGAGGTCTGTAGACTTGATGCTTTTCATTTGATGTCCTCACATCCCCTCTGCCATCATTGAAGAAACTTCCAAACTCTTAAATGCATGTCATGGAGACAAGCAGCACAGAGGCGTCTTAGAGAACAGAAATAAGTGTGTCCTTCCTCCCCCCTCTCTCTCTCCCCTCCTTATCCTTTTTGGGAGAAGCTGTAACCTAAGGAGGAGAAGCTAGCAGAGACATTAGCATAGTGGGGGTTATCATCAGGGTGCGAAAAGTGTGGAGAGTTTCCAGCAAGTACACATTGCCGGTGGGAAGTTCAAGGAGCCTGTGATTATAGGGATTTTCCAAAAATTACACAGAGCCAGTGGGTATTTCAGGGCCCTGGGACTGTGGCTTATTCTCAGATAATAAACAGAGCCGGTGGCATCAATTAGCAACACTTGCCAACCTGATGCATTGTGCTTATTTTAGTGCGAATATACAACGAAAGAGGGCTAATTGAGCCTTTGCAGAGCCGCACATTTGTCATTTATATAACTCTTTTTTTTAATTCATTTTTAAAAATTCATCTCCTGCTTTGCCCAAGCTCTCATTTCACATGCATATTTCATGCTTTTCTTTGGATATTAAAAGGAACATTTCTATGTTTCTCCACAGGTGTTTCTCCAGGTCGGATCACCTGGCCTTGCACATGAAGAGGCACATCTGAAGGACAAGAAGAAAAGAAAAGGAGCAGGAGGAGCACGAGGAGGAAGAGGAGGAGCAGAAGGAGAAATAGGAGGAGAGATAGGAGGACAGAAGGATGGGCAGCCATGCTATCGACTGCCTGCGTCATATCCCCCCCCTGCTGCCCCTCCCCCAATCCAAACACCAGTAGGCTCAAACAGCCATCGGGGGGGAAAGTTGGGCAGGAGGAAAAAGCGAGGAGTAGCTAGATTGTTGTTTTTCTTTAAAATTACACATCACGTTTGCAATAGTAAACACTTCACACACACCTGTCTTTGAATGCATCACCCCGGTGAACCCCGGACAGCTCTGGGGGCTTGGACACTGCCAGATCAACATGTACTCAACTTGCTTGACAAAACATTTTCCCGCCTTCTTTCTTTTTTTCTTTTTTTTTGAAACTTTCTCCGTAGTCAGTGTGTTAAACTTATCGAGTCACTTTGGATGAGCAGAAACTTTTAAATATCCATGTAGTCAGCTGTTAGTGCTTTACCGGCTTTTGAAATCAGATATTCGACTGTTTTTTCTTTTTCAGCTTTCTTGCTCTTTTCTTATCGACGTTTCTCATACACGGAACACACAAACCGTCACCTGCCGCAGTCAGCTCCAGTACTCATTGTGAAGAAAACAACAATGCCAAATCTGCAGGAGAGAGACTGTACGGATTGACTCCCAGCACGGGTGACAATCGAACCCACGGCCCGGGACACCGCTGGTGCGCCCACGGGGCCTCGGTCAGCGGGTGCCGCTGCAGCTCTCAGGCTCTCCTCCAGTGGGTGTTTTGCATCTCTCACCTTCACCGAGATGCCTGCCGCCTCCGCAGGCCATCTGACAGAAATGCGCAGCGACACTTTCTTCCCTTTTTTCTACTTAGAGGACGATAATTCGTCTTCTTATTGTTATTTAAAAAAAAAAAAAAGAATGACACTTTTTTTCTCTCTGTGAGGAAAAGATGTCTTAAAACTCACAGCAATGTGTTTGAGAAGAAAAAAACTACAAAAAATAAAAATCTAAGAAGACTTTAACAGAATGTGTGAGATGAGAAGGAGAGCGTTGTTGGTCTTTATAATCTCCATGTGCACCGACTGCATCTGCAGACTGCAAGAAATCAGTGGATGAACAAACAACAGAATCACACAGACTCTCAGAAAAGGGGTTTGTGTCTGTGCTTTTTTTTTTGGACTAAAATAAAAAACAGAAAGTAGAGAGGTCTTCATTTGTGTGCTGCTCTTTCTGCCCTGTGACTCCCTGCAGCTGAAAAACAAAACCTTGTTGTGACTTCTGTGGTCTCGTACTCTACAGCAGCCGGGCAGAGGATTGCTTAAAAACTGGGAATATGTTTCTTGGTTATTTGTTTTTCTTTTGTTTTGTTTTTTTTTCTTTTTCATTCTGATTCTGAAAGTCATCCTCGAGCGCTTTCACAGACTCTGAGATCTCATCTCCCTGGCAGCACTGCGGGGCGAGAATGGAAGCTCAAGAGCTGCTTTTTGGTTATTCACGTGGAACTAAAGATGCCAGCCGACCTTTGTGTGGTGGCTCTGAATAGACACGGTCACATCGACCCGTCAATTTTGCTTGTTTCATATCCACTGACTGCACTGACTTTTCTTTTTAATTCTTTCCAATGTTATCTGTGCTTTTTCCTTTTTCTACAGCGAAAAAATAAGGATAAAAGGAACACAAAGGAAAAAAAAATCATAAAAGACTTGGAAAAAAAACAAAACAAAAACAATTCTGTCTCACTCTACACGCTGCATACAGAACAAGCACACATGCTCCGTCAACACACACACACACACACTTACACTGCAGTTCTTACGCTCACGGCTCCTCTTGAGATAAGACTAATAAGATTTAGGAAAATAATTATTAAACTAATGAACAGAGTTGGGGGAAACAACACACACTGCATGGCAGGCTTTGTTGCAAACGCACACACTTGCTCATGAACACACATGCACGCACGCACACTCTTCCTGGAATTATATGTTCTGCTCCCAAATCTTTTTTCACAGTAGGAATTTAGCAACTGTTGTTTAGCAGAAGAGTATCTTAGCTCTCGGCTGGAGGTAACAAATGATTCCAAATCCTTTGAAGTGAGAAATCAGCTTGTTCTCAGTTCCAACAATCACCCACATATCCCTCACTACAGCTTGTGCCTCTCATTTAATCAGCGTTTTTTCTGGTTTTTGGTTGTTTTTTTTTACTTCAGAGACTTTGGTTACGTTGTTGGTTACAGTTGAGTCAGTGGTCAATGTTTTCATCGGAAATAATCATAAGAAAGCAGCTGCGGCAGATCTGAAACATTAAACCAGCAGCAGGCGTGTAGTATTATTATTAAAGATGGTTTATGCTCGTGGGAAAAAGTGCTTCAAGATGACAAAATTGCCTGAAACGTTCAGGATAACCCCTGATGTAGCCTGAAAATTGAAGCTGTTAGCTAGACTGATGGGGGATGTCAAAGCTTGCTGTGTAGAAATTCCAGCTCTGGTTTTGATCTGGCAAATCAAATTTATTTTCCAACTTGATGGTGCTGTGTAAAAACTATGTTATTTTTGACAAAATACTCAGCACCCACAACCATATAGATGCGTCCTTTTCATGACTGATTTAACACGCGCAGTAACGTTGAATCACCTGAGGTTCATAATGTGCAATGAAAACACTGACTTTTATCTGTGCCCTGAAAGTAATCAGCAACAATTTTAATGTAAAAAAACAGAAAAGAAAAAAAGATGGATCTGAGAAAACTGAGGTAAACGTGTGTTCACACTGCCTGCTTTCTTTGCTCAATAGTTGATGGGGGAAAAAAATTAAATTAAAAAAAAAAATGCACTCGCCTTGCAATCGGGGCACTTGGCACCAACAGACGCTACCGCTGCATCCGCCCACCACCACCCACTGTATATGCCCCGCAGCACGTGCAAACAGTCCATTATTCACTGTTACTGACTGGGTGCAGTTGGGGTGAGGGTGCAGGTTCCTGAAGCTCGCAGGAGGTTTTCACATCCCAGTGTACCCAGTCATCGTGCCAGTTGGCTTCGCCAGCCTTCATTAGGTGAAACAGCGAAAACATTCCCCTCCGATGGGGAATGTTGGGGGGGGTTATGGTGCAGCTTCGAACAATCGATACCAAAAACCTCCAGCGTGGAACTGCCCTTCAGCCACGGGCAGAGTCTCACCACTCAGGAGAGATCAGTGGGAGACCGCCTCCGTATGAATTCAGTGTATCTAGCGGCAGCTTTCACTATTAACTCTCTCTCTTTCTAAATATGACAAAGCAGCCCGTGTGGGAGGCGAATCCAGTGTTTCACTTTTGATTTCATTTGCCCGTTTGCTGGTTTCCGTTACAGAAGCTGTGTCGATGGTCGTGTTCGTCGTTCTTGGATAATGCAAAGTCATGCCGTCGGCGTCGAGGCATGCAAAGAGGCCCTCCCATACAACGTACAATCATAGAGGGATCAGGATTGTAGCACTTTTGTGAGGCTTTTGATGGCATGAATGTGTTTATGTGTGCATGTATGTGTCCCTGTTAGGCATACTGTGATGGGAAGCAGTCATTCAGCAAAGAGGTTTATAACTGACTTTTTAAACTGGTAAACAAGTGTGCGGCTGTGTGAGGGAAGAACTGGTCGATGCATTTGCTGTTGGATTTTTTTCTTTGGTCAAAGCAATGGCTGACAATGTGTTTATTAGGGGTTTTTTTTCTTTTTCTTTCCTTTTGACCCTCCAATTATTCATTCATCCATGCATACAAGTCATTGAGCTTGATGACTTGCATCGCATTAAAGAGATGCTAATTCATGCCTTGCACTACACAGGTTTATCTTAAACCATGTAAAATCAGACTGCCTGACAGATTAGTTGGCATTCGGTTCAAATTATTTGGAAGACGGCTGTCGTTTATATGTTTATATGTAACTATAAAAAAACAAAAAAAAATCAATTAGTGGTTTTTGTGCCTATTTATAAAAAATAGGAAGCAGCATTTTGCATTCATGCTAATTTAAACTTGACTTAAACTTTGAATTAAAAAATGCTAAAAAGCAAAAACATTGTGCTTAAAGGATTCTCTAAGAAGATTTGTCGCTTTGAGCACATTTCTGTGTTGGTTTTGAGCAGTTGTGCCACTCGCCACACAGGCAAAAAAGCTAAATTGTTTGTTACAAAAACAAAATTAAAGATTGTAGTGCTTGCCAGCATGAAGCGATTGCAACTCACAGTTCATCTCCTCGTAAATGATAACCCCTCTTGACATTCGACAGATCGCAAAGTCACTTCAGATACAAATTCACATTTCATTCCCTTCACATCTGAGCCTGTCAAAGCAGGTTTTCTGTCACAGTGTTGCCCGGGTCTCCTGTGGTCTCTCAGGCTCCTCCAGGCCCGGCTAGCTGCCGTCCCACAGCTCTGATTAGCATTAACTCTCGGTTCTCTTCTCAAGTTGCAGTTCAGCTAATGAGATAGCTCTGGGTCACAAGGAAATTTAGTGGTCTGGAGAAAGAGAAAAAAAAAAAAAACAACAACAGGGACCTTGAGCCCGACTTACACCCAGTGGACACATTTGATGTAGAACAAACAGAAAGTCCTGTTAGCGCAGGGAAATATCAGGAGATGGTGAGATACTCACTGAAGAGGCTGAACTTTCATGGAAAAAAAAACAAATAAAAAAAAATCATTTACCTACATGAATATCCAGATCATTAAATCAGCCATTGCATTTTATCTCATGGATTACAGATAAAATAAATTACCATTTATCTGCAAAGTCCCAACAGATATTTAATCCACTCCACGTCCCCCGATCCTCCCCCGTGGTTCACAGTTAGTGCCATTCTAATTTTCCTCTCTCCCTCCATCCTCACCCCATCTCTCCCTTTCTGTCCACAGCAGTTGTCCATGCACTATCAGCTGCGGGAATGCTGAATGCACACTTTACACATTTTGCCCAAAGATTTGCATATCTGCAAGTTAACTGCTGTGAATGTAGTAGATGTAGTGGAAAGAGCTGAGATGCAGAGGTGCAGAAAAGGAGTGGTGGATGGACGGTGGGAGGAGAGGGACTGTTGATCTTACATAACCGTTCCTGTTAAAGCATAATTACTGGTATGCTCCAACGCTTCATAACATTCTCGGTCCTCTCGTCTACTGTCAGCTGGAGCCGAACTCATTGTTCACAAATGTAAAATAACGTTTTCATGGTCTTATAGGGTGCCTGGTATAGTGGCGCTAGCAGCTTAAGCAGGAGTGAAGTAGCTTTAGTTTAAGTTAGCTTCTTAGCACACTGCAGATAGCACTGTCAAGTCTCATCATGGGAATAAACCTTTTCTCTGACAAAGAAAACTAATTCTAAATTTAGTGACCTGAAATTCAGTTTTAGATGATTAGCCTGTTAATGCTGTTTAAATTAAGTGTAAGCTTTTTCAGTAAGAGAGCAATAGCTATGTATATAGCTAGTATTCGCTGGCTAAATAGCTAGCTAGCACTAGCTATGTATAATAGTAGTGCTTTTACACCAAAAAGCACTAGCTATATAAAAACATATGTAGCTAGAGAACTAGCTTGCGAGCACTGATTATGTACAAGTGTAAAAGCATAAAAGCAGACCAGAGAAAAAGGCATCAAACCCAGTGTGAAAACGACCTTCAGACATTCTCCGTGGCCACAGTTAGTTGTTTAGACACAGTCCTTTGATGGATAAGGCTTCAGTTTTCACAGTTTTCCACCATATCGTCCTGATGAAGGATTGTCACTTCTGGCAGCTTTTGTAAATAGCGTGAGATCTTTCATGCAGACCGCTCTGTCTGTAATTAACCATATGTGGCGAACAGCATTGCTCAGACATTTCAGCGTTTCTATAGATCTGCTTTAGTTCTTGCAAACATTGCACTACATGATCATACTTAGCTATTGCACTCTTCATGTGTGCGCACTGCTAGCATAGTCTGTTGGAGCACTCTGTCAAATATCCACTTAACATTTGTTACATGACCAGGATGCACATGGCCACCAAGAACTATTTTCCACAGGTCACCTTGCAGCAGATCAGACTGACATATCTGCTTAAAACTCCAGTTAAATGCCTTTTTCATCACTCTTTTTCTGGAGGAATATGTCGTACTCTGAAAACACTCAGTCATGCTGTGACTTGGTTGAACTTTCTTGGTATCAGTGGCATCCCAGAGTGACGCTGTCTGTAACTACTGTGTTTGTCCATGCTTGATGTGTCAGTATATAAGAGATTCACAGATCTTAACCCTTCTCCTTGTGTCTGTATGTTTCACTTCACCTACACCAAACCCTCTCTACCAAAACCACGACCATCAGAGCCCTCTGGGACCCAACACGCTCATAGATATCCAGCTGTTCTGAGAAGTATTCTCAAGAGCTATGCAGCTTGGGATCCCCAAGCAGTTCTTTGGTGAGACTGCAATAACTTTTCAACTTTACCAGCTTAATGTCCTCACTGGGTACAGTTTTTTTTTTTTCAAATGACCCATCCTTGTAGGTGCTTTACACACTCTGTCAGTTAATATGCTCAGTTGGCCTGATGCCTGATGCTTTTAGTTAACAGACTCCTTCTTGGAGTCTATCCTGTTCTGTCAGTATGTATGTGGCAAAAGGATTGGTACCAAAGAATTAGGTTTCTCTGTGCTTTATTGTTATGGGAAATAGTGCCCTGTCACAGCCAAGGTAATATTTGTTTCACTGACTAACAAGTTTGCGTTGAAATATTTGATTTTTTGGCACATTATTTTTTTAGGGTATCAAAATGTTCAGTCCAGAATGGCTATTGTCTGTTTAAACATTTTTTTACGTGTGATTTTATGACAATTTTATGCAATCGTGCAATCTATATAATCTTTATTTTAGTTACAGTCACTTTTGAAGACTTCCCATCAACATTTCAGTCTACAAAAGTCTATAGCTTTAGCAGGCTATCAACCGTATTCCTTAGAGATTACATTTCTGAAATAGTACAGCAAAATGATTTTGAAGGAAATATAACGTAACCGTTAAAACGATGCAATCATGCTGCCAGGCAACCTAAAATCTTTCAGACAGAACACTTATGTAATTTAGGTTTAACCTTAGCTTTCAGAAAAGATCTTACTTGTTCAAAGTGACTGTGTATTTATATGCCTTTTGTTGTAAGTAACATGGTAGAAATGACATGCACTTTTCAAGTATTACCGTCCACGCTAACAGAAAGTTTATTTGGTTCCAATCCTTATGCCACATATTGTGTGGCCAATCCAATATTTGTATTAACTGTGAGTGGTATTTCATCACCTTTGTATGGCCCACTGTGTGTACTCAAACCACAGCTGTTGAGGGATCCCACTTATATATTTTCTGGGATGAATGGACATGTAGAAAAGTGAATTAAGACAAGCAGATGTGTTTTCACCATCACGACATCCTTCTCACCTGCCCTGCAAGGGCTCTGTAACTCCGTTCATATCAACCTTGGATCCATGACCCTTCACTCCACCCCGCCCTCCTCTCTTCTCTCACTGTCACCTCTGTTGAGTTGAGTTTCTTTTCCGTTCTCTTGTTTTACTTACGATTTTTTGCTGTACAAAGTGTTTAAAATATTATTTGTATTATATGATGTTAGTATGGTAATGTTCTTTATTAAGGAAGAAGAAAATTTATTTTTGTTACTGGTCTGTTTCATAATTCTTTTCTAAATTGGTATTGTAAGATATCTATGCAAGAACTGTTAAGTGGAGCATTTTTATTTAAGAATGTAATATGTGTAATAAATGGTAGAATCTGCTTTTGGCTCTTTTCGGTTTTGTTCAGTCAAACCTCACATAAGCGTTTAACATTAATGAAGACGATTCAAAGCATAAAGTGATCCCATCTGGTGAAGTTCAAATTAAAATGAAAAATACGGTAACTAAAATTTATCACGTTATTTGCATGCTGTTACCGCTGCCTGGAAATGTTTGGTCATCTCCCAACACACCAGGTTAAAAGACAAACACAGTGATACACAGTGATTCAGCATGAATACACATTAATGTTGCTGTTTAATTACAGTGGTTATTATTGTTGTAATGACAAATATACTGAACAATCTTTTCTTTAATATTCTTTTGGTTGTTCCTATTAAAAGCTGAACATTGTGACCCAAACTGAATCACCAATGACATCAACATAAAATTCCAGTTTTTTATTTAGTTATTTATTTTGCACAGTCTGATACTGATATGGTACTGAAAACAGGAATGCATTTATGTGCTGAAGGACAGATGGTGTTATGAGCTGATAATTCAGTCCTAACTCCTGGAATGAAAAGTTTGTTTTACAACTTTTTATTTCTAAGCAATTAATGCCACGATTAAATTTCTTGAATAAATTGGTTGGGTGACCAAACAAAAAAGTAGTGATTGGCCTTTTTACTGATGGCCTTTTTACTCCTTACAGAGGCTAAATGGTTTAGGTTAACCCACACTCTGTGAAAACAGCCTGAGGGCTGATGAAATACAATCAACAATGAAAGGAAAGAAAGGGCAACAAGGGGAAGTAAACTGAGGGAAGCCAAATGTTAACAACACAACTTAGCACCATGAAATGCCTTAATTTCAGTAACAGCCAGAGAGAGCTAGCAGCAGCAGGTGAAGTGCCAGCAGGCTCAGTTCAGTTCAGCTTTATTTGTATAGCACCAAATCACAACAGCAGTCGCCTTAAGACGCTTTATATTACAAGGTATAATTGAGTTGTTGGTTCAATTATTTGTTCAAAAGCAGTCTAACGATGTGTGAGAGATCGAGAAAGTAAGGGGGCCCGCAGAGACTGCTTATGTATGGGGCCCCGAATTCTGTACTGTGCCCCTGTCCCTGCATATAACGCACACATTTTGCTTGCTGTGGGTGTCAAAATGACATTTTTACTGTGCACTTTGTGATTCACACACACAAAAAGGGATTTATGTTAGGCTAGTGTAGCTGAGAGAAGAAGAAAAAGCGAATAAAAGATTTGGCTCAACAACAAACAGCAGGACTTATTTTTCCTGTTGAGATACAAAAAAAACCTATTGTTTGTTTACATTACAGATTTATCTTCCGATTTCATTTTAGGATCCATGAAATGGGAGAAAACAAAAAAATATTTCATCACAGTTTAAACTTCGTTTTTCCCGATCAGTTGAAGGAAAATCCAACACAATGTACCAGAGTGAAGAAAAGCTGTTCCTTGATCATGTCAGAAACGTTTGTGAATAATAATTTTTCTCTCCGGAAACACTTTCAGTCTGTGACTTTTCAGCAGCAGATTACAACGAACCGACTGAGGAAACAACAGCCATCCATCCATCCTTAAGAGAATCAAAGAGACGTTTCTTATTTAATTTTAGCATGCAGGAAATATAAAATCCCCCTGGTACAGGATGCCCTTGGGCCGCTCTGGGTTTGTTTGATTTCAGTCACCTTTTTTCAGAGTCTGAATCTGGCTTTCACATTTACAGTGCAGGTGTGGGACGATTTCCTTTTGCTTTGAATTTCTACATAAACATCATCTCTCCAATATAACTCTTGAGATTTCCATATTATGTACCCCATAAAGCTCAATGCAGCTGTAAAAACCAGCGAAATCTTCTTCTCTTAAAGGGTTCGGTTCCAGAGCACTTTGACAAGACAGGCAAAAAAGAAAAAATCTTCTACAGAATGACTGAAATCACCCCGGTGTGGCCAGCCAGATGTAATTATGAGTAACATGGTAGCACATTACTCCTGCGTAATGGCCATTTAAGGCAGATGGACACATCCTGTCAGGCCGCAGGCGAGAGCACAGACGTATGGAGGGACAATGGCACGTAGCTGCGACAGAACAGCTCATAGTCTCAACACTGGTGATAATTTCGCTCTTTATTACAAATTAAAACAATCTCATGAATATCTATTGCGCCCCTCCTGGTAAATGGCTTCATGGTTTTTAATTAGAGCTAAGTTGTCAGTGACTGAGCTGACACAAACCCATGTCATGCGGACTAAATGAGGTAATCAAATAATTAATGGCTAACTGGGGATCAATTAAGCAGAAGATACGGTGCTCATAGAAAGCGTATCTGCTCTGTTAGTTTGTCCTCTTACATAGAAAATGCCAGTTAACTAATTAAAAGGGACCAAAGTGTGATTGTATTTTCCTGGCAAGACAGACTTGACGCTCATTCCTTGGATTTAAATCATCTTAACAGGTCTTTTACTGTAAATACAGACTTGGCACTTCTACATTTGCCCATGTTTTCCTTGCTTACAGAGTACTGACGATGAAGACATCTCAGCGGAGCCAACACGGAGGATTATTATCATTTCTCAGCAGTGGGCTGTGTTGGCTAGAAAATGGGAATTCACAATGCTGATTAGTGTGGGCATTTTGAAGTTTTGCAAGCTTATTCACTTCTTGTCAGAGGTGGGGAAGGGAGGCGAGCGAGCTGTTTATAATCTTATTCAGCAGCATTAGCCCGTGTAGTGTTGGTGTAGTGTTTACAGAAACAGCAACCATCAGCCTTTCTTAACAGCAGAAATAAACAGAAATGTGGTGAATTGCCCCATAGCACGCTCTATACTTATCTCCCAGAAGGACCATGTCAGCTCATTTAAGTGACTCTTAGACCCAACTGCCCACCAGCAGCCACCCAGTATAATGCTGCTCTGTACTAAAAGAGGAAATCATCACAACAGCTCAGCACAGAACAACAGCAGCAGATTTAAAATTATTCATGATGGTGGGAAAACAAGCTGAAATAGTATGAATGCTAGTGCATTTTTTTATTTAAAAAAAAAAAAGCATGGTGAGTTTAAGTAACTCAACATGCTTAGGAACGTCACTCAGTATTGCACAATTATCTAAAACCTTTAGTTTACTTTCAATGTTGTGTTTCACCACTGCTCAAATGCTAACTTTATACACTGTCTAGTACTGACAGACCAGCTATTGCTGTCCAACTTCTGGCCACTTTAGTGCAGCAGAAAGAAGATCTGGCAAGCAACACTGCTATGTAAGTATTTAGATTGAAAATGAGAGGTTCAGCAACAAGGAGTAGCTGTTATTACTGTTATACTGTGAGGACGAGGCAACTGAAACACTTTAGAGAATGTGGAAGAAACACTACACCATCTGCAGCCTTAGATAGCCACACCCTTCTTTTTAGCTCCCACTTCAAGTAAAATCAGTGTGTCATCACTTCCTGTAATGACACAGAACTTAAATCATAACAGGCAGAAATATCTGATGTATATGTGTTTTTTTGTTCTTTATATAAAGAGCCAGTGTAATTAGACCAGGTCCCACCCTGTTCCAAAACATGTTAAATCTGCGACATTACGCCAGGTTGTATGAAAGCACTGCCTACTGACCTGCCATGGTTTTGCTGTTTGTTTGGTTGTTTGATTTTTTTGGAAAAAGGCACCATAATTCACAAAGATCCAAGGATTGTGGTGTAATTGTGGTGTACAAAGCTGTACACACACCTTTCGCTTTACTTCACAACTAACTGTAGGCAGTAGGAGATCTAGCAACATTTCAAAGCATGTTTTGAACTTTGAACATACGTTTTTTTCCTTACTTACGAATGTGAATCACTATTTTTTATTTACTTTTACTTACTTTTACTTGATTTACTGTTTATAACTCTTAGACCTGGCTTGCAAGTGAAAGTATGAACTGTCCCATTGTCAAACAGACTTGTAATTATGATGATAATGTTAGGGCAGAGATATTGACATGACTATGAACCACTCTGTATAAATGGTGTTTAATTATTGTCATTTGCTTGCACTGATGTGGGACAATACCCCAGCTTCTGATTTACAGTGTGACTGTGCAATGATAGTAAAGAATGAAGAGAGATGAAGCATGTACGCTTGTCAGCCTTTATGATTAGTCATATAGACCCAATGGCTTTTTTTACATGATTTAGAAACCCTTCATTTTCTTAATGACTTGATAAAGACCGCCATGACACCACTTAGAGTGATTGCAGTTGTTCGGATTAGTGAAGTTAGGTAATGGAAAGATACGAGTCTACTGAACTTGCACAAATCCTTTAGTCAACCTCAAAATGTGCCGTCTTCTTGGCCCTCATGTCTGCTCCATTCCAACTAAGCAATGACTGAGATGCAGGGAATTTATAATATTTATTTCAATAATATTAATATAATAAAGTTCAATTTAATCTGTAGCCATGATGGGCATCTAACTGGTTCAAAGGTCAAAACTGTGTCTCGAAGACTGTGGCTGTGATTTCAAAGATGTTCATACAGTTAATGTTTGCAAATTGAGTTAATTATGGACTTTTAGTGACAGACAGTAGTTACAGTTCTCTACCACGCTGCATGCTTGTCTTCTTAAATAATATGTTAGCACTGAAGCTTTGCAGCATTTCTCAGCTCTTTGTCTCAGAGCTGGAGTCTAATAGAAAGGAGTCAGCCTACTGTGAAATTTGACAGAGTAAGTGTGTTACTGCATATTATGGGCGCTGCAGTAAGAAGCACGACATTCGTTATAATTTGTTTATACAGAAACCGGCCTTGGTGACACGAGAAAGTGAATTCTGATTGCTCAACAAAAAGGAAACATGCTGTAAATTTTTGAAGTAAGCTTTTCCTACGAGTTTGATGAAAATATATCAGCACAAATGTAATTTCTGTGTGCTCGGCTCACAGGTCCGAGACTTGTTAGCCTAGCTTGTAGCATAAAAAGAAAGCACACAAAGGGACTGCTGTAATGAATGTACACTCAGCCAATCATCTTTTTTTCACGTGGCATGTCAG